TGGCCCGTCATACTCATTTCATATAACTTGCTACCTTGGATGGTTATGAAGGATCCATTTTGTTTGATGTCATTACTTATTCTTGGAGAATCGCAACTAGGGATTGATATTGACGTCTACATACGACCATTGGTGGATGAGTTGAATGAGTTATGGACAAATGGTGCACTAAGTTACGATGCCTCCACAAATGAGACTTTTTGAATGCATGCAGCTTTGTTGTGGACAACACATGATTGGCCTGCATTTGGTGACATATCTGGGTGGAGAAAAAAGGGTCATTATTCTTGTTACACTTGCAATGATGAACCATATTTTGTATCTTTGAGAAGTAAGACTGGGTATACTAACTATTGATGTTACTTGCCTGAGTAAGATTAAGAAACGGAAGAGATCTTTGGAGTTGCCGATGGAAAAGATACAAGACCAGTTGGACAATGTGACATGTGTCATACATGGAAAGCATCTAAGTAATAGAAAAAGGCCCCGTCAAGCACCTAATTGGACAAAGGTAAGCATCTTGTATAAGCTATCCTATTGGAAGAAGTGAAAACTTCGACACAACATTGATGTCATGTATGTGGAGAAAAATTTTAGTGAAAATGTTTTGAGAACTATGTTAGACATTGATGGAAAGAACAAGGACACAAACAAGACACGGTTAGATTTGGAAGATATGGGTATAAGGAAAGAGCTATGGCTAACACAACGACCCGATGGGTCATATGTCAAGCCTTGAGCAAGCTTTTCATTGACACCTACAGAGAGGGAGGGTTTCTTTGAATTTTTAAAAACTGTCAAGTATCCAGATGGGTATATGGCAAACATATTCAAATCAGTGAATGCAAGAAATGGTAGACTAACAGGCCTAAAAAGCCACGACTGCCATGTATTTATACAAAGAATTCTTCCCATTGGAATGCATGGTTATGTGGATAAATAAATTAGCATAACACTTTTTGAGTTAGGCAATTTCTTCCAAGACCTATGCTCTAGGACACTAAGATGGAGTGAACTGGAGAAATTAGAGGAACGTATAACACACATTTTATGCAAGCTTAAAAAGATCTTTCCTCCAACCTTCTTCGATGTGATGATCCACTTGGCTATTCATTTGCCTCATAAGGCTATTCTTGGAGGACCCGTACAATATTGATGAATGTATCCAATTGAAAGGTATTTTTTACACTTATTCTTGTAAATGAGATTTGCATAAGTGTGTTGCATGTGTAACTATACTCCTAATTCGTTCTCTCTTGAAGGTTTCTTGGAGCAGTAAAAAAATATATGACCAATTGAGCTCGACCAAAAGGTTTAATTGCCGAGGCTTATATTGTCAAAGAGTGCATTACTTTTTATTCAATGTATGTTGATGGGATTGAAATCGTGCTTAATTGACCAGAATGGAATAAAGATCTTGGTGAACGTCAACAAAGGTTGACAACATTAACAGAAACTGCACGTCCAATTGGTCTAATCACACGGGATGCTGAAATGTCTCAATAAATTCGTGATGCTCATTGTTTGTGTTGTACAATAGCCCAGAGATAGAGAAGTATTTGGAGTATGTGTTTCATTGAATTATGTATATGCTTAGCTTTTTTATTTTCGGATCTACGTAGTAATCACTTTTTTTTGAGTAGGGAACACAAAAATATATTACAAACTTGAGCTGGATATGACATAACCCATATACAACGACAAGAATTTCCCAAGTGGTTCAAAGAGAGGGTAAAACATTTATAATTTTTCGACATTCACAACTTAAACAAAATTAAATTTTTATAAAATGTTGTCATTTATAAATTATTTACTTATTGTTTGTTACATGTAATTGTAGATAAATAGATTAAGAGTGGAAGAGTCATCAGAGGTAATCGATGAATTGTAAATGGTCCTAGTTTGCTAGTGAAAGAATAGTCAAGTTGCATAATCAATAGCAGACGGTTCCATACTCGAGATCTAGACAACCGTCATACGAGTCAGAATATTGTAAGCTTCAGGGAAATCACAATAAGTCTCTTCAATGTCAAAATCATCATGTTCAAACTCAAGTTCTAATTGCCTTTGCATATAGTCTATATTATTTTGGTTTTTATCATTTGCTTGATTTGAACTATTAGGGTCCAATTTCTTTTTCACCAAGCTAGAATGGAATTAAGAGGGATTTTGGATGACCTACCCCTCTTGTTTCTTAATTTCTTACCCATTTTCAACAAACAGATTGGGGAAAATGGGGAGGAATCACAACCCAATAACTATCAAGGATAAATCAACAACAATGGAAAGATTTGAAACCTGTAACATGCACTGGCTTCTGATGCTACATCTTCATCCTCCAAAACCCTAAAGCCTACCTCCGAAACCCTAGCTCTCAATCTTGGGTCTCTCTCTCTCTCTCTCTCTCTCTCTCTCTCTCTGTGAACCAACAAACGGAGAACTCACTGAAAATACTGTTGATGTATAGACACAGACCGTCAATCGCTGGTCGCTAGTCGCCGCGGTGGTTATCGCCGGCGTCTGGCCTTCTTCGTCGCTATCCCATGGTTGTCGCCAGGTCTCTCTCTCTCTCCCTCTCTCAATTACTTAGCTATTCCTAGTAATGTCGTCCAAACATACCCTAAAGTTTAGCGTTGAAGAAAAATTGTTGGTGAAGAAATGGGAAATTCTCAATAAAGTATGTTTACCATATTACTTTAGTCTTTCAAGTTTCAATTTTGTCAATTTCTTCTACAAAATTTTCAATCTAAGTCAAATCAGTCCAATTTTAAATGGTCCTCTAAACCATTAACCGAATAATTATAAAATACACATTTTCTTCCTAAAGTATGCATTATGTGTCATTTTGGTCCCAAAATTTCAATGTTGCTAATTTCACCCCTAAACACTATAAGGCCATGCTTCATCTTAGTCATATATTGTCACGCCCCAAGCTCCGTGACAACGCCGCACACTCATATAAGTGAGCATGCAAGGCTAAGAATCCAATCACATAACTCACAATGTAAAATACTCAAATTAAATCCTTAATTGTCATAATGCCAAAATCCATAAAAGTAAATAGTTCTTATATGAAAATGTCCACCAAGTCCCTTAATTTAATCCACTAACAAAACAATAATCCAAATACTTAAATCATGGTCCTACTCTCGGCACTCCCACATGTAAAAAAAATCTCTCGCAGCTCTACTCTTCAGAATCTGAAAAAAAATAAAGGTAAGCTAGATAGCCCAGTAAATAACCAACCATCACTGCTAGCTGGATCAAGTATACAAAAATAAATAAATAAATCGATAACCAATAAATATAATTTTTTTTACAGTTCAATAAATGAACAATTATTTGTAAGGTGGTTTCATAGCTAAAAATAAACAATGTACAATACATTTTAAATGAAAAGCCAACAAGATAATTCAAAGTAATTCGTTGTTCAAATCGATGGTTCGATGTTCAGATGGTTCAATGATTTGATTCACAAAACCCAAGTCTTAATGACTACGGTCACTTAGCCCGTGACAGGACCCAGAACCACACATAGGCCGGTGGTAAAGTCCCAAAAGAAACTAGTTTCTGTGCCAATAAATAACCCCCATTGGCTAGGGTCCAAATCATAGTCAGACTAGAGTGATGTTCAAAATTCAAACAATACACAACTTTTAAATAAAACATTTGATATTTTCAGAATAAATGTTTAGTACAATTTTCAGAATAGTTTCACCAAATATTCAAATAATTTTCATAATAATATTCGATGTTGTTTTATACTTGACCCATATTTTATTTTAAGAGAACATGAAGGTTATAAATAAATATTTATGATTTTAAATGATTCGATAGGAATAAAAAAAAAATGAACCAACAGTGATAGAGGGTTACTTACCTTCAAACAGCTAAAATAATATTTTCCAAGCTAATCTCAAATTACCAAGATCCATCTCAATCTCACAAACCTAATAAAATATTACACCGCTTAAAAAATTATTATGTGCACCCATTCATCTCTTCTTATAACAACAATAGAATAAATTATCCCAATAGTCTATTAGGAACTCCCACGATTTAGCATCAAAACAAAGCCATCACGGCTTCAGAAATTCTCAACCCATATTATTCTATTGTTGTTTATATACATGTAAAAATTTGTAATTGCTTGTAGTCAATCGTGTATCCCACAAATACACCACCATTAAACTTAACCCATCACATATCAATCTCAAAATATGAACCACCCAAACGGGATGCAAAATACACTCAAATTGAGCAAAATCGAGACCCCCAACATAGACTACATTAATATATCTATTTAATCATATATGCCTATAAAATCATCTATTGATATATTAACACCAAAATCATAGATAAGAATACAATAAAATAAATCTTACCTTAAGTGATGAATAAAGAAAAATCACCACTCTATGAATCCTCCTTCTTCACTTTGGTTTTGTTTTGTTTTCTTTAATTTTTCTTTTACCTTCTCAAACCCTAGCCGCCTATGGAGCAATTCCCAGCCTCTATTTTGTTTGTTTCCCAAGACTTAAAGCTACAATAGGTGGGCTTATTAACCTAATTTCTCTAAGTTACAAAATTACCCATCTAAGTAATAGAAAATATAATGCCATCTCATAACTAATTCTTTGATATTAATAAATGACCCATATAAATTAATTTAATTACTAATCTATCCAATAAAATAATCCTACACACAACTTGGGTTTTACATATATGTTTGGGGACCAAACCAAAGAGACAAAACAAAAAACTTAAGAAAAAAGCTGATACAGAGTGCACATATTTTAGAAAACCATAAGTAGATATTATTACTATTGTGTTTGTGTCAAGGAATTAGACAGTATGTTTGAAATTAGACAAATTTTGAGTCATTTGAAATGGGTTATGTCTATTATAATTTTATTTTATAATTTGCAGTGGGAGTGTGAGTTGGAAGACATTTTTATTTGGGGGAAACAGTAACTGAGTTGTAAGAGATATATACTTACCTAAGCCTTTTGCTGTTGAGGTGGTCCTCTTGATCATGAATTTCAGGACTTCCACTAGCTTCTGCTGCTGCTGCATGGTAGTGATCGTCATTGAGGTCGTCGTCGCGTCTTCTCTTTGATGTAGTAGCACTACTACTACTGCTACCAACTTGTACTCCTGCTGATCTGTCCAAGTCTCCATGGAACACACCCATGTTGATGTTGTTGTTATCTTCTTGAGAGTCGTATATACTACTCAATGCTTGTTCTTCAGCTTCCTTGTACATGACATGGACACCGACCTTTTCGACCACTTCTTTGGATTCGAGGTAGCAAAAAGAAACTTCAAATTCAATTCCACCCTCGTTTAATTGCTCCATAAAATCTTCCGTGAATGGCGAAAATGCGCCGCGTGAGATAACCGTAACCAGAATATTTCCAAAATTCGTAGGTAACGTCACTACAGAAAATGGTGTGATGATCCTCTGAGTAACGTGGCACCTCCAGCGCATTTCAATACACAAATGGTCGGATTTACCCTTTTTGAATCCAACAGCGGCTAAAGCACATCCCAAGAACCTGTTGTTAAACCCATGCGGCGGCAACTGAAATGATATCGAAGACCCCTACTTTGATGGCTGAACCACTTTGGAATCTCTCTCCCAGGAAAATAAATGGTAAAATCATTCGGAAGTTTCTGTACAAATTTATACTCATCAAACCTTAATCACCTCAAAATATAATTTTATATTTATGAGATTTCTCTTTATATAATAAAATAGATGAATGTTATTTTAAAAAAATAAAAAATAAATGATACTCTATCCTTTAATGTTTGGTCACTTTTTCATTTTAACTTTTAAAATTTATTTGTTCGCACTTTGATCATTCATATTTGAAATTTTTTTTACTTTACTCCTAAAATTAATTTCTGTTAAAAATTAAATAGAAAATACTACAATACGAGACTATTTTAGTGTGTCATTTTTTGTTTAATTTTTAATGGAAATTACTCCTAAAATTAATTTCTGTTAAAAATTAAATAGAAAATACTACAATACGAGACTATTTTAGTGTGCCATTTTCTCTTTAATTTTTAATAGAAATTAACTTTAGGAGTAAAGTGAAAAAAAAATTTGAAACATAAAGGGTCAAAATGAAAAAAAATAAACATTAAAAAAAAAAAAAGTAATTTACACAAAAAAAATAAAATAAAATAAAATAAAATAAAAATTAAGCGCACACCGTAAGCATCGCTGACCAAGTGAGGTAACTGGCCCATTAAAATACACACACCCAAACTCCCCACCGATGTGGGAAGCTTGGCCCAAACCTACCCGGGCCGAAGAGCACCAACCCGCAAATCTATATCAATCCTTTACTTTTCGTTAATCTCTTGATTTAAACTTTGGTATAATCTAAATTATTTATTTTGTAAAATTTTCAATTTATATTATTTATGAAAAAATAATAATTTGATATGATAATTGTAATATTTTTATTTTACTGTATTTGTCTCTGAAAAAATGAATAATAACTATATTTTTAAAAACAGACCATTTATATTTTTACAGACAAACACGATAAAATGAAAATGTTACATTTATCATATTGACATATTTTTGTTCTTCGATGGCATACATTAAAAGTCTTACAAAATAAATGGTTTGAATTATCAAAGCATTACCCATGGTGTGCCCCACGAGCCCCTCTAATTCTCTCATGTTGAGAGTGAACACGAGTGAAATTTAATCCCTTTTTTTAGGTTAAATTACGATGCACCTCTTTAGTTTTGCTTAAAATACAAAAATCACCCCTGTGGCTTCGGAGATTATATAATTTTTTAAAGTACAAAGATTAATCTATATTTTAACCAAAATTCAGGGGTGTACTTGAAATATATATATATATATATATATTTAGATGAGAGGAAATTAACCCTTTAAACTTCTCAAATTACAAATAGTTTTTTTTTATTATAAATATATTAATATTTGGGACAATTACAAAAAATAAAAATAAAAATAAAAAAAACCTAAAGTTTGAACCTTATAACAAAATTAACCCTAAATTTTTAATTTTATCAATTTAAACTTTTAATTTGTTTTTAATATAAACCATTTGCCTTTTTCATTAAGTAAAATAAATGAAAAATGAGTATTTTAATGAAAAGTATATTTTAGACATTTTATACATTAAGTTTAATGATTAAAATAAACATCTGTTTAAATTAACGAAAATAAACAAATTGTTTAAATTAAAAATAAATCAAAAGATTATAGTTTAAATTAACAAAATTAAAAATTCAAGATTTGTTTTGTTATAAAACTCAAACTATGGAGTTTTTTTTTTTTTTTTTGGTAATTATCCCTAATATTTTTTTTTCAATCCAACAAAAAAAAATAAATTTAGTATTAAATTTAAAAAATAATTATACATTCATGGAATTTTTTTAAATTTTAATTATTAATATTTATAAATTTATCACTAATTTGTAATTATCTTTTTTAAAATTATTAATGATTTAAGTAGTTAGCTCTTATAGAAAATAATACATATAATTATCCTTATCTTTACAAAGGAACTCTTGAAGGGAATCTTTTGAATTAATATAACCAAAAAAAAAAAAAAGATCTAATTAATTATAGTCTAGACGAATTATAAATAATGATGGAACAAGAAAAAAATAATGGGGGTGTTTGGCAAGTTGGGTTTGGTTTTTTTTTTTGGACTAAAATCCAAATAAATAAATAAATAAATAAATAAATAAATAAATAAACTAAAATAATCAATAAAATAAAATATCACATCAAACCCATAATTCTTTCACTTTTTCTCTCACAAACATCATATCCAATTATAAAAAAATCTTACTCTCTTCTCAAACATAATTATTTTAGCCTATTAAAATAGTCAAAAATTAAAATAGCTAACTAAAATAGCCAACTCCCCAAACGAGGCCAATGAAGAACCCAACACAGCCTTAGGCTTATGTTCTATTTTTATATTATCTTTAGGACTAAATTGATTCGAATTAAATACTTTAGAAACTTAATTGACAAAATTGAAACTTTAGGGACTTAAATGAAAAGGATATAAAATTTTAGGGACTACTATTGTAATATATCATTTATATATATACAAAGAAAAACAAAAACAGTGGACTCAAATGCCAATGCTCCTGTGTGATTTTTTTTTTTTAAAAAAAAAAAAAATCAAAAAACTTATTGCTGGGTGTTCAAAATAGGAGTGACTGGGTGTTCAAAATTGCAATGAGTGAACTTGTTGAGCATATGTATTAGTATTAAAAAAAATAAAAATAAAATTTCGGGTGTTTAATTAGCTAAAGAGTAGAGTTGCCGCTTCACAGTACCAGAGAGAGAGAGAGAGAGAGAGAGAGAGAGAGAACCTGAAATCGATTTGAAATAAATTTTTCTGTCAGGATGTTGTTTTGCTTATTCTCAACCAATTTGAAGCAATTGTTGAAGTACAGTCCGTCAAAATCGTTATATTTGGATAGACTCCATATTGTTCTTAATGATGAGCAATTAATAGCAGATAGGTAACGTATTCCAGATGAAATCTCTGGCAATTCTTGAAGCTTCTTGCAACCATCCAAAAACAAGTCCGACAGCCTTGAAAGTTGATTCATGCTTGCAGGTAAACTTTCCATATTGTTTCCACTTAGCTGTAAAGATTCCAATGAGTAGATGTGACAAATGGCTGTGGGGATAGATTTTAAATTACAGTAATTGAGATCTAGTGCCCGTAAAGACTTCAACCCTGACAAAGCTGCTAGTTCAGAAGCCATGGAATTATGTCTCTCTCTTCCTAAAATGAAATGCAAGAAGAAAGAACTCCATGAATTAGATGATATTCCTTTACACCCTTCTAGCGTTAGTATTCCAAGATTCTTCAGAAGTCCAATGGAGGATGGGAGTTGTCTAATTGCAGTCCAATCTGCATAAAGCTCATATAAACAGTCCAAAACACCCAAGTTTTGCGGCAATTTGTCAAGTTTGGAGCAACCAGAAAGGATTAAAGTTCTAAGATTTTTTAACTCACAAATGTTGTCTGGAAGACTCTTGAGACTTTTGCAGTCCCTTAAGTTCAAATAAATAAGCATTCTCAGAATTCCAAAGGATGGATGAAGATTAACCAAACTTGTACAGCCTTCAAGAATCAGTCTTTCAAGATTTGGGACCCCTGTGAAGTCTGGGCTCTTCGTTAGATATGTCGAGTGACTAAGATTTATGATCCTTAACTTGCCTAGATGCTGTTGAAGAAAAATAAAAATATAAATAAATTACAGAAATTATAAAGAAATAAATCACGAAAATTATGTTGTGTCAAGGACTTTGCATCTTATTCAAAGTAATTAAAGAGAATGCATATTCATACCATTGTTCCCTCCCAAAGTTGTTCAATGCTGCTATAGGTTAAGTGAAGTTCAACAAGATGCTCCGGTTGAAATGTCGAAGGCATGTATTTCATAGGGTATCCTAACCAGTCAAGATAACTTAACTTGTTAGAAAGATATTTGAGTTCTTCTGAGAGATGCATACAACAAATTTTGAGAACCCTCAAGTTTGACATCTTTGCAAAAGCACTAGGCCTCAACTTCAATTGTTTTAGAAGCCGATTGTCCTTTGGATTTGGACCTCTTAGGTCACTATACTGCATAACTATGCCTTCCACTTTGTTTGTTCCCTAACAACCAGAAGCAAATCAAAAGGACACAATATTAAAAGGTTGACAAAATTATGCAGAGCTAGCTTTTGTTAATTAAACAAGTTTAGAGTGTTTATGCTTTTCTATAAGACCTCTTACCGTGTTGTCCATCAATACATGTTTTATATCTTTATCAAGCCATAACCTAGTGCGCTTTCCAGGCTCTTCAGGTGATTGCTGGAAAACAATATACCATCCTAGTTCTTGTATCAAATCGTGCATCAACAGCTTATTGTCTGAGATAGTAATAAGAGACTTTTGAACAAGAACTTCTATTCCAATAATTGGGTGGAAGCAACAACTTTCTAGTACTTGTATAACCTTATCTTTGTCATTCCCTTTGAAAAAACATGCAATATCTAAGAATATTTGCTGCTCGTGCCAATCCAATGCATCGTAACTTATTCTAAGTACTCTTTCAACTTCCTTCATAGGGCTTTCTTTTAGTTTGTTTAACGAACTTTCCCATTCAGCTTTGTTTCGACCACAAAGAAAAGAACCTAAAACTTTCAAAGCTAAAGGAACTCCTTTAGCATAGTTTATTGCACGACATACAAGCTCTCCATAGCCTTCCATTTGCTGGTGTTTCCTGAAGACTTTCGATTTAAAGAGTTCCATAGCTTTATCTTCTCTTAATTCCTCAACCTCATAAATATGTGTTATGTCATATCTAGTAAACACATGATTATTTCGAGTGGTTATAATGATTCTACTTCCAAAACCGAAACAATCGTGCTCTCCTACCAATTTTTCGAGTTCGGTTGATTCATCCACATCATCAAGTACGATAAGAACTTTTTTATGCCATACCATATTCCTTATCATATGTACTGCACGACCATAACTTCCTACTTTCAAATCCTTTTCCATTAAGATTTCAGAAATGAGTTGTTCTTGCAAAGTTTTTAAACCACCCTTTTTTGAAACTTCTCTAACATTCTCAATAAAGCTGCAACCATCAAATTGCCAAGAGATACAATCATAAACAGTTCTCGCAATAGTAGTCTTACCTATTCCACCCATTCCCCAAATCCCTACAACATGAGCGTCATCCATCCCTAAACCAAGCAATTCAATCACTTTCTCCGTACGAGAAACCATCCCAACTAGGTCTTTGCCAATGTTTGAATATGTATCAATTAATTTTCTAAAAAGTATCCCGACAACTTCTTGGATGAACATTGATTCAGACCTGTGCAGATTTAGGGAAACAGTAATAAATTTATTCATCAAAACTCAAAAGAGCTATAAGGAAAAGTGTCATTAGTTTGGTAAAATGGTGATTAATTTTACTCATTGCTATTGAATAGCACATATAAATATAGTTTCCCTGTATTAGATATAATCATAAAGAAAAACATAAAAAGTATTTATTTGTTTTATTTGAGTGGCACATTGGGTTTCTAAATTTTCCCACAATTGATCTATTTTACTAGTTATTGAACTACATTTGTTCAGTTCTACTTTAATTTGCTGTTAGAAACCCTTAGGAAGATTTCTATTTATAGAGTTGTTTATACTTTTTTATTTCAAAAATTTGTGCAAGAGTGTTTGATGAAACTTTTGCCTACATCTTATGTGTCATAAGCTGTTTAAAGTCATTATTAACAAGCAAGGGAAGAGATTTCGATTATTAACTTTTATCTTGCTAGAAATTGCATCAAATCAGTTAGACTATATTTCTAGCCCCTTCAACTTTAATACCTTTAAGTTGTTTTTGAATTTACGAGTTTGGTACTATTTGTAGAGGAAAAGGAAAGAGTCCAAGAAATATAAATAAAATATAAGTTAAATTATTTCACCCTTCCTCTGATCTTTTTCTTTCCTTCATAAATTCATGTCCAAACAAACCCTAGATCCAAACACAAAAGTTAGATGATGATTTTCTTTTTCTTTAATGTTATTAAACTTGACAACGCTTATTTCACGCATTTTATAATGTTTCTTAAATCATTATTTTTACACACATATTATAATGTTTCCTATATCATTATTTTTATTGTCAAACTAATTATTTCTTGAATATGATAATATTAAACATCAGATAAAATTATGTTGAGGAAATATCATTTTGCTCTACAAACTTTCACGTATTTTTCAATTTGACCCCTAGACTTCGATTAATATCAAATTTGCACCGAAACTTTCAAAATTTTGATCAATTTGGTCCCTGCCATTACACTTCGTCTACAATTAGATGGAATGTGCTGATGTGGCACCAAAATTCATTATATATTTCATTTTATCCCCCAAACTATACCTTAAAATCAATTTGTCTCCCAAATTAAAAATCAATTTGCCCCCCTAAACTATATCTTAAAAATCAATTTGCCCTCCATGTCAGCACATTCCGTCAAATTGTAGATGAAATGTGACAACAGGGGCCAAATTGATCAAAATTTTAAAAATTTGGGTGTAAAATTGATATTGATTGAAGTCTGGGGATTAAATTGAAAAATGCGTGAAAGCTTAGGGGGTTGAAATGATATTTTCTCAATTATGTTATAGAGTTATTTCAATTGCACTGAGATTATCCTTCCAAATCATATATATATATATATATATTTTCCTTTTTAATCAGATCTTGCATCACATGTTGTAACCTCTTTTTAAATAATTTTATAATTATATCTGCATAAACATTAGGAAAAATTGGTCAAAGTGTTTTGAAAGGAAGGTCAACTTTGATGGTTACAAGGAGACATAGCACTTCCTAATTGCTAGGTTCAAAAATACGGTGATAAGAATAATTTTTGATACTTTTACTCTTTGTATATTTTGTATTAATTTTTTTTAAATTTCATAAATTTAATTCTACAAATCTATTTTTAACAAAATTGATATATGTGAATTTAACTTTTGAGATGTTTCAAGATCAATATTAGTATGAAATTTAGGCCTAGTTTGGGAAGACTAAATAAGTGTACTTTTTGACTTTTTATGAAATATGGGTTGGGTTTGGGTTGGGTTTGAAGTGATGTGTTAGAGAGGTGATGTGACTTAAATAAGATGATGTGACTTAAATAGGATAATGACTTTTTGACTTTTTGTCTTTTTTCAATCATGCCAAACTTGGCCTTAATATATTTATATATATATTGATAAAAAGTGAATATATTTTGAAAAATATATGAGTCAACTGTCACAATTTACCGACATACACAATTAATGATATAGGCCCAATTTTCTTGTCCATTGTTTTGAATGAATTTGTGAAAGTGTACTTTTTGACTTTTTATGAAATATGGGTTGGGTTTGGGTTGGGTTTGAAGTGATGTGTTAGAGAGGTGATGTGACTTAAATAAGATGATGTGACTTAAATAGGATAATGACTTTTTGACTTTTTGTCTTTTTTCAATCATGCCAAACTTGGCCTTAATATATTTATATATATATTGATAAAAAGTGAATATATTTTGAAAAATATATGAGTCAACTGTCACAATTTACCGACATACACCATTAATGATATAGGCCCAATTTTCTTGTCCATTGATTTGAATGAATTTGTGAGATGTATATGATTATTACTTATAATTTTTATCTAATTGTCAGTTACCTAATGACGGTATCACTAGGATAAGGCCATCCTGATAAATTGGCAACTTGCTCCAAAGCATTCCTCCACCTTTGAACATTCTCCATCTCCAATACTCCCTGTTTGGAAATCAATTTTGCAAATCCCTCCCCAAAACTCCCTCTTTGCCATCTCACTTCCTTTGGATCCACATGATAGAATATCGGATAAACAGTTGTGTTGCTGCATTCAAGTGCCTCCACAAGTTCATCCAAACACCATCTCGAAGAAGCGTAATTCTTCGATAAAACCACAATTGAAAACCTCGATTCTCGAATAGCCCTCCGGAGCTCCAGCGAAATCACTTTTCCTCTCTCGAGCTTTTCGTCATCTTTGAAGGTGTGAATCCCCTTCTGAGCCAACGCAGTGTAAAGATGACTGACGAAATTATCACGGGTGTCTTTGCCTCTAAAGCTCAAGAACACATCGTATGTATATTGAGGTCGAGATGAAGATGGAACAGAGGAGGAATTGGTTCTTTCTACAACCATGGAAGCCATTATTGTTAACTGATTGATTGGTGTACCAAATTACTTAGAGAGAGAATATTGGGAATTCTATAACAGAATAAATTTGGATCTCCTCCATTTTATACTGGGTTAACGACATGCAAAACTTAGGATTTAAAACATATATAAAAAAATTGCAATTAAAATTCTTTTTATAATTTTTTCACGACTTTTAAAAGATAAAATTTAGGAATAATTATAAAAAAGGAAGAAAAAAAAAAGTTTAATCCGTATAACAGAATAAATCATTAATTTAAAATTTTATCAATTTAAATACAAATATTTTGATTTGTTTTTATTTTTATTTTTATCTAAACTATTTGTTTATTTTCGTTAACTACCGAAAAATTACTATTATAGTTGTTAAACATAATATTAACAACTAAAATACTATTTTTTTTTGTCGATTTCATTTAATAAAAACTAGCCTATCACCCGTGCTATGCACTAGATATTTATAGATATTTATATTTGTTTTAGATTTTTTTTAATATATAAATTATGTTTTTTTTTGAGATTTTTTATAAAAATAATTTAACAATCTTATCATTAATCATAGTATATGAGAGAAGTTGAAAATAGTACTGCAGTAACTATACACAGATTGTTTCTATTATTATTTATATAAGGGGATTTTAAATGCTGATCAAGGATTTTGACCAAATCAATAAATGTAGGCATGTATAAAGACATGTGAATTGAAAAAAATTAATAAATGCTGATCAGAGAATTTTGACCAAATCAATAAATGCTGAGTTTTTTTTTTTAATAAAATATTTAGAAAATTCAGATTGGGATTATTTAGAGCCATTAAACAAACTACAATAACATTTTTCTTTTTATGAGTTAACTTTAATCATATTAAAAAATCAAATTATAAACAAAAGGAGATAACTTCAATCATACAAATCACAATTTTTTTAATGCTATCTAACTACAATGACATTTTTCTCATAATAAAAAAAATAATTGAAAAAAATAACCATTAAAATAGTAAATAAAAAAGATTATTTAGAACCATTGAACAAACTACAATCACATTTTTCTTTTTGTGAGTTAACTTCAACATATTAAAAAATCAAATTATAAACAAAAGGAGATAATTTCAATCATATAAATCACTATTTTTTTAATGCTATCTAACTACAATGACATTTTTCTCATAATAAAAAAAATAATTGAAAAAAATTTAAGAGGACATTTCACCAACATTAACGGTTGAAAGTGAAACTACCTTCTTCTTCACTTATGAGGTACCATTATGCATAATCATCCAATTAAAAGTATGAAGTATGTTTAAACTACTTCAAGCATAAAGTAAGTTTATGCCATCACTCATTACTTCAGGATGACTAACTAATAACATAGATGGTCTACTGAATTAATTTAGTTCCAAAACCAAATATTTGAAGAAAAAAAAGAAACAACCAATTGGCTTAAAACTGGATTTTGTTAATCTAGAGCTCTTTACTGTTTTTCTTTTACAAATTCTTTCTAGATCTCATTGAGCCAATCTCAGCATTGTTTATAGAGTCTTACAAAATAACTGGCAAAGCTGAAAGTATAATTTTTTTGGGTAAATTACAAATACACCCCTGAGGTTTGCTTAAAATATGAATTGTCCCCTGTGGTTTGGAAAATTACAAATACCTAGTCAGAATTTTTTATTTAACAAAAATAATTGAAAAAGTGAAATTTCTAACTGTTCACCTATACAATAATAAAATTATTTAAATTATTAATTGAAATAAAATTTTAATATTATTAAAAATTGTTAATTAACTTGATAAATTATTAATAAAAGTATTTATTTGTTATAAAATTAGAAACCTTAGGAGACATAATGTAATTTTCAAAATCACAGATATAATTTATAATTTAAATAAACCTTATGGAGTGTGTTTGTAATTTGTCATTTTTTTTTTCTACGATTGCTAATACTAATTCTAAGAACTTATTTTTTTATATCTGAAAAAAAGAAACACTAAAAATCATTCTTTACTAAAAAAATTATATAAAAATAATGAGTATTTATTTATTTTTACCAATTTAAATTTAAAAAATAAAAATAAATTCTGAAAATTCAAAAAGAAAAAAAACACAGAGAAAATGTCATGCCATCCCTTCTTGTCTCACATCGATTGTATCACCTGAAATTGGAGGGAGGGAGGGAGAGAGAGAGAGGAAACCTTGAACGTAGAAACAGTCCATGTCGAGGTGAGCGATGACCCTTGCACCAGATGATTCAGGTCGTGCCACTGGCATCTTCTCTCTCTCTCTCTCGCTCTCTCTTTTTTCCTCCAAATTCAAGTTATACAAATGTGAGACAAGAAGGAAAGACATGACATTTCCTCTGGTTTTTTTGTTTGTTTTTTTTTTTTCAATTTTCAGAATTTATTTTGATTTTTTAATTTAAATTGGTAAAAATAAATAAATAATAATTAAATACTCATCATTTTTATATAATTTTTTACTAGCTTATCACCCGTGCTATGCACGGAATAATTATAGATATTTATATTTATTTTAGATTTTTTTTAATAGATAAATTATGTTTTTAAGATTTTTTTATAAAAATAATTTAATAATTTTATCACTAACCATAATGTATGGAAGAAGTTGAAAAGGGTACTGCAGTAACTATACACGGATTATATCTATAATTATTTGTATGAGGAAATTTTAAATGCTGATCAGGGGATTGTATCAATAAATGCAGGTATGTAGAAAGACATGTGGATTGAAAAAAGTTAATAAATGTTGATCTGGAGATTTTGACCAAATCAATAAATGCTGAATTTTTTTTTAATAAAAAATTTAGAAAATTTAGATTGAGATATTAAAGCTCTCACAGGTCTTGGGGTTTAAAAATCCTATTTTGCTTAATATATAGTATAGATATAGATAGATAGATATAGATATAGAAAATATAATATAGATAGATAGATGTGTTGAAATTTTTTAAAAATTTTGTTTATGCTGGTCTTTAATGCATTAAAGTTTAATTATGAGGGGGTTTTGACCAAATCTCCCAAAAGACATGGAGATTGGGAGAAATTAATAAATGTTGAGGTTTTTTTTTTTAAATCAAAAAATTAGAAAATTAGGATTAGGATATTGGAGCTCCCACAAGTCTTGGAGGTTAAAAACTCCCTTTTACTTAATATATAGTATAGATAGATAGGCAAATGAAAAAGATTGAAAAGTGATCAAAAGTTTAGGATTTAAATTGACAAAACTAAAAATTAAAAATTTATTTGTTTACAAGGGTTCAATTTTCAAATTTTTCTTATAAATTTTCCTAAAATTTAACATGTTTTATTATTTTTATTTTTATTTTTATTTTTTGGATAGATTTTTATTTTGAAGTTCAAATAGTTAAAGAAATCTTTCATGAAAGCAAGGCTAGCCGAATTTGGATAAATAAAATAAAATAAAAAGAGAGAATATTATTTTGCCTCCCAAACTTTCACTCGTTCATCAATTTGACCACTAAACATCGATTAATATCAATTTTACACCCAAACTTTTGAAATTTTGATCAATTTGACCCTTGCCGTCACATTCCGTTTACAATTGGACGGAATTTGTTGACGTGATACCAAAGTTTATTAGAAATTTCATTTTACTCCCCACACTATACCATAAAAGTCCATTTGCCCCCTAAAATATACCTTAAAAATCAATTTACACCCTACGTCAGCATATTCCGTCCAATTGTAGACGGAATGTGACGGTAGGGGCCAAATTGATCAAAATTTTAATAGTTTAAGCATAAAATTGACATTAATCGAAATCTGAGAGTGAAATTGAAAAACATGTGAAAATTTATAGGATGAAATGATATTTTCTCAAATAAAAATAAAAACATGTTTTGGAATGTGAGTTGTTTTTCTTCTTCTTTTTTTTTTTAATTGGAAGAAAAATATTTATAAACATAAAATCATTATACTAAACGATCTCATTATAAAAAAAAAGAAAAAAAAAACCAAGTGAATAAAGATAAATCATAGTCTAACCCAAATAATTATTATAAATTTCAAAAGAAGTCAGTGTAATTATCTTATAATTTACCAAATCATATATATAGTTATACTGTCCATTGCCATTGTCGTTTCTTTGCTATTCTTATTATTTTTTTACTGAATGAAAAGAAAATATATATTTAAAATCTAATATACTAGAGGCTACTCATGGAGTCTGTAATGTCCCTAAAATATGATAATAAACCATCTTACAATATTTACCAATTAACAATACATTTCAGCATATAATCTCCTTACATCCATATAATCCAGTTGTACAAAAGATGGCACATGCAACTATACATTCATAAGCCCTAACCCTGAATCTATAGCATGTGTTATAAGCTGGAGATATGAAATAAGAGTTAAACAGATAAATGAATGCCTTAATGGCTACAACCTTCCAAGACGGTGCTTGGTTACAGCAAAAGTGAGTTCGAAATTCAATACAAATTAAGCCCTAGGCTTGTACAAGATAAATACAACAAAAACAAAACAAGAAGCTCTTAGCTCCAAGTCCTCCCAAGCTACGGCCTTGGCGGAGGCATATCATAAGCATTTGAAAATGGTTTTCCATATAGGATGAGCCAAAGGCCAGTAAAGATACTCTAACATAGTATATGAGTCTTAACAGAGTTATAAGGTGAATGTATATACAATGCTCAGGTCAAAACATTTTATATCTCTTTCCAAAATCAAGTAATGCCAAGTTTATATCACAATTCATGAAATCACTTCTTTTAAAATAGAAAACAAGGCAGTGGATACAACATTGGGAATCTCTATGACGTGTCTGCAAGTAGGCTAAAAGCACTACCAATTGCCATTTTTACTGGTATTAACCAGAAGGCTTGACACCTATCTACTTAGGTTTCTGGACTTTTACCAAGGACACACTGGCCAACATAATACCACAACTACACTCCTACCCAGATTCACCAAGGTATTCACCCATTTT